TGGAAGAAGTTGCTTTCTAAGACCAGAGGTCCCAGAATCTTCCAGCTTGCACAGCCATTGGTCATGTTGGCTTGGGAATTATGGGACATATAGTCCAAATTTTTCTCCTATGTTTGAGGCAAGAACAGAAATTCTTTTTGATTTGTGCTGTTCACTGTGAGCACTGAAAAGCACAAATGTCATCACCATGCAGTAGAAACAGCAAGACTTGATTCTCTGTTGGATCCAGCCATATAAAGTAAACTGGTGGAGCACTGCAGCTATAACACAAGCATGATGAATTCCTCTTGCTGCTTTGCAGAATCCTTCCCCAACCTGGGGATATCCAGTTGTTGGTGAACTACAACCCCCAGCACACAGAGTAGGTTGGCTAGGGCTGATGGGAGTTGTAAGCCAAAAACTCTGGAGTGCAAGAGAAGGCTACAAGTGTATTGCTAGCCTGTCAGGGATGTGCATTGGCCTGTGTATTGTTACATTTCAATTATTACATTCTGTGACTAAACTCTGAGTGGTCTGTGTAGGCAGCACAACTTTGGACATTAGGACTTTTGCATCTTAATTGTGATGCATGAACCTCACTGTACCCCAAGGCTGGCGGAGAACTGAATTGTTGCAGAAACAACAACATGGATTTGGAAAGAACAGAAATAACTCTTAGATTGCTTCAGCTTTGGTGAATTTGCTTCATGCTCAAAGCAAAGTTCTGGGCTCCAGATTCTCCATTTCTGTCTGCTTTGCACCATGTGCTATTTAGTGGATCTCTTAGGGACCCAAATCAATGGAAACAAAGTAGATCCCACAAGTCTGCAGTCTGCCCATCTCTGCTGGAATCCAAAATAAAGCTTGGCACAAAAAAAATCTAATTGCTTTGCTACATGTCTCCCTTCTCATGTTTTCTACAGAAGATTATCTAGCAGACAAAGCTATTTTTTTTTCCAATTTGACTACTATAAATGATGCAAGAACCCTAAGGATTGATGTTTAGATGTATAGTATCCACATGAGACTGTGAAGATTAAAAAAAAAACCTAAGCATGATGGGCCTGATTCTGCAATTTCCAACAAGTTTTGTTTCACTAAATCGCAACCGGCAAAGTGTAGGTGCCAGTTCTGAATTGGGAGGTGCCACCACTCTCCTTAACAAATTTGTTTTTTTCTCCCTGCAGTAGCAAGAGCCTTTTGCCCAAAATAAGCTGAAGGGAAAGATGGGCAAGGAGGCTCTCAGAGAATGAGAGTAGGGTGTTCAATAGTTGACAGTGGGCAGGGAGAGAAAGGGTTAAGCTTCCCTTCCCATCCTGAGGTTATAGGGCCTTGCTAGTGGCTCCTATTTGCACATGAATATATGCATTTATTAGTTACTTTTATGCAATTCATTTGTGGCTTTGCCTTCATTATAATAAATACGGGGTGGAGATTGTGTACCCCTCCAGTTATCGTTGGATTATAACTCTTTTCCTCCCCAATAATTTGCATAGCGAGTTGCTGGGAACGACAACCCCAAACCCTCTAGAGGAAGACAGGCTCTCCCATCTCTGATTCAAAGCAGGACTGAAAAGCCTTCAGAAAGTCCTCCAGATGTTGTGGACGACACCCTGTTCTTCCTGCCCCCAAACCTGCTAGCCATGAAAGCCATAGCAAAGTGGTGAGATGGGGATGGGGAATTTGTGGCCTGAGAGATACTGGGGGACTGCAACTCCCATCTGCCCCAGCTGGCCTAGCCAATGGTAAGGGATACTTGGAGCTGCAGTCCAGCAATATCTGCAGGATCACTCCCTCCCCATCCAGACCATTAAGCAAAAAGGCCCTTCTGCAAAAGCTGAAGAGCTTACCATCTCTCCAGAGCCTTATGTTTGTTGGGTTCCAACAGTCGCAGGAAATATAAGAGATGGAGGAAATTTCAGGCTGAGGCAGCTGACAGCAAGGTTTGAAAAAGGCAAATGCTATTTCAGGCTGCATTAACAGTAGTCTCCAAATCCTGTGAAGTACTAGTCCCCCTCTATTTGACACTGGTTAGGCCTCATCTGAGCTCCTGTCGCTTGTCCCAGCTCCTGCCAAGCTAGCAGTTCGAAAGCACGTAAATGCGAGTAAATAGGTACCACCACGGTGGGAAGGCAACGGCATTCTGTGTCCAGTCGCGCTGGCCATGTGACCACGGAAGATTGTCTTTGGACAAACGCTGGCTCTACAGCTTGGAAACGGGGAGGAGCACCGCGCCCTAGAGTTGGACACGACTGGACTAAATGTCAAGGGGAATCTTTACCTTTACTTATAACAATTCCCATGGCAGTTTGCATCAAGCATCAAATCACAGAATAATTGAGTTGCAAGAGTCCTATAAAGCCACGGAGACCCACCCCCATCTTGGTGCACGAATGCAAATAAAAGCATATCTGACAGATGGTTGTCCAATTTTCTCTTGAATGCCTCCAGCACTGGTACACTCACCACCTCTCAAGCTCAATGGTTCCATTGCCATACTGCTCTTAACAGTTAGGAAGTTTTTATTGATATTCAGCCTAAATCTGGCTTCCTGTAGCTTGAAGCCATTATTCCATTCCCTGCATTCTGAGATGATTGAAAACAGGTCCTGCTCCTCCTCTCTTTGACTAACTTTCAAGCATTTGAAGAAGTGTTTTCAAGTCTGCCCCCCCCCCCGGTCTTCTTTTCTCAGCTCTAAACAGGCCCATTTCTTTCAGTCTTTCCTCATAGCCTTGGTTTCCAGTTCCTTGATCAACCTTGCTGCCCTCCTCTGAACTTGCTCCACTTTGCTGGCATCCTTCTTGAACTGAGATATCCAGAACTGGATACAGTACTCTAGATGAGGCCTAGGTAAAGAAAGCTAAAAGGTTCCCCTTGACAATTTTTGTCCAGTTGTGTTCGACTCTAGGGGGCGGTGCTCATCCCTTTTTCCAAGCCATAGAGCCAGTGTTTGTCCATAGACAGTTTCCGTGGTCGCGTGGCCAGTGTGACTAGACACAGAACGCCATGACCTTCCCATCGAAATGGTACCTATTTATCTACTCGCATTTTTGCATGCTTTCGAATTGCTAGGTTGGCAGGAGCTGGGTCAAGCGACGGAAGCTCACTCTGTCGCGTGGATTCGATCTTACGACGGCTGGTCTTCTGACCTGGAAGCACACAGGTTTCTGTGGTCTAACCCGCAGTGCCACTACAAAGTAATCTTTCCCCACCTCTGTGGAAAACTAAAGGGGAAGGAAATGTTCTGTGAACAAGGTGCTGCCAGTGAAACAAATTTGAAGATAAATGAATTACTGTACATATTTTGTTTGTGTGCTCTGGACCCTTCCTGACCGAGAGGTTAGCCAAGCTCAGAGCGTGGATGTTTCATTTCACTGAGGCAGACTCAGAAAGTCCTGGAGTAGGAAATTGTCCCCCCAATGAAAGTAAAATTTTATTATGATCAAAGACCAGCAGTTCTCCCCAAAGGTATACAAATACAAACACCAATTCCGGGGAGAAAGATGGATGTGAAGCTTTACTCTAGCTGAGCTCCAAAGTTCTGGCTTCTGAGGTAGATTGTCCGTATGTGAAGTATTCCCTCTGTAGCTGCTTCAGGGGATTCAAAGCTGCAAGTAGTGAATTTTGAAATGCAGATGGGTGTGCATTTTAACAGGATTCTTTCCAACTCATTCCATTTGAACTAAGCAGTGTGTGTGTGTGTGTGTGGGGTTTAAAATTCATTTTAATAAATAGAATTGGGAATGAATTTCAAGAAAGGCACTCACTGCGGTCTTTTGCATTTTCAATGGAGGGAAGAGCAGTAATAGATCTTATTTCGATTCTATTATCCCTGTGAAAATTAATCTTGACTTTGAATTAATTACAAATCCAGACACAATGGTCTTGGAGTAAGGATACCTCACAAACACTTTTCAAAGTTTGAATGGAATGTTGAATTTGCAAAGCATTAAATCCACATCTAAGAGAGATTTTTGATCTGTAGTTTTAGCATGAACGGATGACTTCTTAAACCAGTTTAAATCACCTCATTCTACTCACCAGTCTTCTCCAATACAGCATTTTCTGGAGGTTTTGGAATTCTATTTCCATGATAACTCACCCCAGATCATGCTGCCTGGAAATGGTAGTCCAACGCATCTGGAGAGCTCCACATTTGGGAAGACTGCTATAATCCACTTCAGTGTTTCATCTTGGGTCTTCCTTTACACTAGCTAACAGACCACGAGAAACCTCTGGCTCTCCAGTTATTTTGGAGTACCTTTCTCACAGTTTTTTTTTTAAATTGGCCACAGTGGCAGTGGTTTCTGAGAACTGGAACCCAAGACAACTGGATGGCCAAGGGTTGCTCACACCTGCAATATATGAAGTAGCGATGACATGCCATTTTGGATGTATGTGGGACCTAGTGGGACCAGACACAAATGCATTCAGAACTCCTGGGACTCGAGCAATTGGTTCACTGTGAAATGGTGCCAGGAGCCCCTTTACATGCTCCTCCATGCTGCACGTGTCAGCTACAAGACTGCTCTCATGCTTTACAGTCTTTCATACCAACACAAGGCAGAAGGTTCACCTAATGAAAAACCCTATGAGGGAAATTCTACAGGAATGCCTAGACCACAAAAGGATTCCACTTGGTACATCTAACCCTTGGAAGCCATTTGATTTGACCTACCGTTAGTCCTCATGGCAGGTCTGGCAAACAGTGCGATCAACATTTCATTGATGGTTTCAGCACAAAATCTCACTGGTCAAAATCTTATGTTGCTCCACTAAGGCATCAGGAATAATGTCACTGGCAGACTTTCACTAATTAAAGAGTCACTGCTGCAACTTTCGGTTGCACATGTTTCTTTTTCATTGTGTGTAAGACATACACAACCCAAAGTCGAAGCAGCAACACCAGCAACCTGCTGCTGCTGCTGGAGACATCATTCTTCCTATAGCAGCAAAGCTACGCAACATGATACTGGCCACTATTGCTAGAATAACCATTTCCAGCTACTTAGCAGGTGTAGCTTTTCAAACCGATTAGTCTTATGCCAGCAAGTTGACTCTAACTTTTGGCGGTCCTCCTAGGCTTTTCTAGATGTAAAGTATTCAGAAATGTTTTCCAAGTCCCTCCTCCTGGTGGTACTTTGGGACTAACATGCAGCTTGCTCAAGGCTGTACAGATGATAGAGCCTGTAATAAATGTTCCAGATGAATTCTGCTGCCCCCTCTCCTGGGAAGCAGAGAGGAGATGCAAAGTCATCCCCCCCAGCTCTGCAGCCAGGTGTGCCAACTTACAAAGCTGTACCAGCTCCTTCCACCTGCAGAGATACCAATTTATGGCCCTTCCTCAATGCAAGAGGATTGCCAGCCTGGACTACTGCTGTCCCTTTAGGTCTGGCCCACATAGACCAAAAAGCTTCCTATTTAGGGATGGAGACTCTTGCTATCCTGATGTTGTTCAATTGCAACTTCCAGCCTGCTCTGCTATTGGCTATAATAGAAGGGACTGCTGGGAGCTGCAGTCTAACAACAACTGGAGGGCCACAATTTATTGCCTTCTAGGTTTACCTGCCTGCAAAGGTGTGATCTTTATGGTTTGTGTTAAGGCAGCCATCTCGTCTTCCTTTTCTCTGTGTTAAGAAGTGTATTTCAAAATACCTGTGTCAACTGCAAAAAGGTTCACATTTGTATACATCATTCATACTAGTGGTTTATCACTGGACTCCTGGACGGAGGGTGTATACTCCCTCTGTGGTTCTTCCATGTTAAAACAATCCTGACTGTAGCATTGAGCATTTCCAGAAAACAAACAAACAACAAACAACACTGTTAAAAGGCCCAATATCACTTCTAGGATCTGTACAACAGTTAGCACAGAGCTGGCTTTGCCATGGACCTTAGTGTGGCAAACCGGGTCCTCCCATGGTCTGGATTAGGCCCCTGTGCCTAAAGTTTCTCTGCTCTGCCATGTAGAAATGATAAATTAATGTCAACAGTTTTGCCATTCTGTAACTTCTGAAATGAAGGCACCACTTTCAGATTATTTGTGTTGGAAGCATCATCGTCGCTCTTAGTTTGAAATGCTTAAGGGACAATCCGGTGCACGAAGAGGAGTTAGTTTTCTTCTTCTTAAAAGTCAAAATTATCCACACAGATGTGCTCAGGAACTGTTATTCGGTGAGGACCAGCTTTCGCCCTTTGGAGGAGCCGACCTTTCCTGGCAAAAGTACATTGCGGTCCTGAAATGACAGTGGTGGGAAAAAAAAGAATTGGAAAAGGAGACTAACAATTTGATTCTGAGTGTGAGTTAAAAGTCCAAAATGGCCCTAATCCAACACAGCAGTTTAGCATGCTACTGACAAACCAACCCAGGCTTGAGTTTCATTAAGGCAAACAAACACAGAGGGGAGAAATCAGTAAACAAGGACATGAATCAATTGGACAACCAGTACTTCTGAGCCTAGGTGGATTTCTCTCTTCAAAGGGAAATGGAGCAAATTTTCTCTCCCCTGCCGGAAACCAAGATCTCAAGCCAACCAAAGCCCTCAGGGAGAAGTTGCATGTTTTGATTCAGAAAATGCTGAGACAGTGTTGGTGTGACTGTGGAACCCTGGCAAGGGCAAGGGCAAGAGCAAAGAAAGGAGGGATGTCAGCCTCTCTGTCAAGGGTGGACAACCTGAGTACGTTCAGGGGCCGAGTTCATCTTCAAGTTACAAGATAGGCTGCATCTTGTGGAATACCATCCAGTGACAAATGGAAGGAGGAAAAACCTACATCTGGATTTCAGAAGATTGCCTTTTTGTGCTAACTTTCTTTAACAATAATATATCCTGCAAGACTAATCTGATCTAATTTTCCGATCCAGTAACCTCCCTGATAGATAGAGGGAATGCTATAGACATAGTATATCTTGACTTCAGCAAAGCTTTTGGCAAAGTGCCCCATGATATCCTGATTAGCAGCTAACTAGGTGTGGACTGGATAGATCAAGTGTCAGGTGGATACACAATTGGCTACAGAATCATCCTCAGAGGGTGATCATGAATGGGTCCTTCTCCAACTAGAGGGAAGTAACTAGAGGGGTAACCCAAGGCTCAGTCCTGGATCCAGTGCTCTTCAACATTTTTATTAATGACTTGGATGAGGGAGTGCAAGAAATGCTTCTCAAATCTGTGGAGGACACAAAATTGGATGGAATAGCTAATACCCTGGAAGACAGAAACAAAATTCAAAATGATCTAGATAGGCTTGACCACTGGGCTGAAAACAACAGAATTAAATTTAACAGGGATAAATGCAAAGTACTGCACCTTGGGGGGAAAAAACCCAAATGCACAGTTACAAGATGGGGGATACTTGGCTCAGCAATACTACAAGTGAGAAGGATCTTGGTATTGTTGTAGATCACAAGCTGTATATGAGCTAACAGTGTGATGTGGCTACAAAAAAGTGAAATGCTATTTTAGGCTACATTAACAGAAGTATATTTTCCAAATCCCGCAAGGTGCTAGTTTATCACTAGTTAAGCCTCACCTTGAGTGTTATGTCCAGTTCTGGACACCATACTTCAAGATGGATGCTGACAAATTGGAACTAGTTCAGAGAAGGGCAACAAGGATGATCAGGGGGCTGGAAACCAAGCCTTATGAGGAAAGACTGAAAGAACTGGTCATGTTTAGCCTTGAGAAAAGAAGACAAAGGGGTGATAACACTTTTCAAATACTTCAAATGCTGTCATACAGAGGAGGGCCAGCATCTGTTCTCGATCATCCCAGAGTCCAGGACACACAACAATGGGGTCAAGTCACAGGAAGCCAGATTTCAACTGAATACAGTATAAGAAAAAACTTCATAACTGTTAGAGCAGTAAGACAGTGGGACCAATTACCTCAAGAGGTGGTGAGTGTCCTAATTCTGGAAACTAGCCTTTCAAATATTTGAAAAGTGCTATTATATCACCCTTAAATCTTCTTTTCTCAAGGCTAAACATGCCCAGTTCTTTCAGCCTTTCCTCATAACCCTTGGTTTCCAGCCCCCTGATCATCCTTGTTGCCCTTCTCTGAACTTGTTCCAATTAGTCAGCATCCTTCCTGAAGTGTGGTGAACAAGGCATTACACAGAGACTGTGTGACAGAGTAGTCAGAGTGCTGGATTACGACTTGGCCAGTTCAAGCTCATACTGAGCCGTGAAACTCTGAATGAACTTAGGCCACAGCCTTTCTCTCAGCTTGACCTACCTCAAAGGGCTGTTTTGAAGATAAAGTGAGGAGTAAGAAGAATAACTATGTACACCAACGTGGGCTTTTGAGATATTAATGTAAGTCATGCATAAAACAATAGCAGCAGCATCAGCTTGCCACTAATTCAAGACTTCCATTTACAATTTCAGGGTGCACTCGACTCATATGCCAAGCAGTGAAGTCATGTGCACCCCTAAATCACAGAACAAAATCTTTAATCAATGGCAATCAGTCAATAATTATGATTTCATTCCCTTGCACAAGCAGCTCTGCCCAACAAGACTTTATCCACTATGTTATTACAAATGGTATTCGAATAATATGTGCACAACGGAGTCCCTGCCATTTGTCCCAGTTGATGCTACAAAACCATCTTTCAAGGGCAGCCCCTTTAAAAGTCCAAGAGTCTCACTTATGTCCCGGCTTACAGCCATTGCATCCAGCCTCCACTAGCTGATGTCCAGACCCCACAGTTTCAACTCGACAATCAAGGAATTCCTTCCCAACCCCAAACGGGTCCTGGCAGGAAATGGTTGTGAAAACAGCAGATTTTGGGAGGAGCACAAGACGGACTCAGGGAACATCATGTTGCAGAAGCTCTTCCAAATGCCAAATAAGGCATCTGGACCCTGCACGTCTAAGCGAGATTACCGGGATAAGAACAAGAGATAAAATTCACTGAGTAAGCTTCATTGCAGAAAGCCCTTTGTGATGTTTTCCCTTGTAGTCATGATGTCGCCTCTGAACTTTTGCAAAAAAGGGGTAGGGAAATTTTTTTCTATGTTCCAACACTTGCATGCAGGAACTAAAGAATCAGTTTAAGAATTTGGCTGGATATTAGCACTCAAATCCAATGAGCTCCAACATAATACGTTCTCTGTCATGTCGTTTTGTTCCATCTTATGATATATTTTTTTACCAAAGTTACTTTTTCTGCCATCTAAAATTACTACTACCATGTTTCCCCAAAAATAACCTGAAAATAAGCCCTAGTATGATTTTTCGGGATGCTCGTAATATAAGCCCTACCCCCCAAAAAATAAGCCCCAGTTAAGTGAAACCCCGCCCGCCACCCTTGTGCAGCAGCCAGAAGATGGCATGACTGTATTTGAATAAATGTAGATTGTTGTACATGAAAAAAATAAAACATCCCCTGAAAATAAGCCCTAATGCATTTTTGGAGCAAAAATTAATATAAGAGCCTGTCTTATTTTTGAGGAAACACGGAACTATTGCTGCTTTGTTATTTATTCCTCACTATTCATACAATCATAGAATTGTAGAACTGGAAGAAGCCCCAAGCATCATTGTGTCCACCTTCCAGCCATAGTGGAAATCCACAACTACTAAATGTATTTGCATTTATACAGTATTTAATCTTTCCTTCCTTACTCTCAGGCCACAATACTCTAAAGGAGATCAGGCTAACATCCACTTGTCTGGTGGGTTTCATAGCCCTGTGGACACCAAAACATGGCACCCACTTCAGCACTCTAAGCACTACACCACTCTAGTTGATTGAATTTCTAGAAAATGTGAAAGAAAAATTCATCTCAGGCATTAAAATCTCCCTGTGGAGGTCATTTTCAGGGTACTGCTGATGTCTGAGGTTAATAACAACAAGAGAGAATAACAAACTCCCCGGAGAACTGAGGGAACGTGTTCACCCTCTTGCCCATTGGGTTGTGGGGCCAGGGGCCCTTCTGGACACCCCCCTTGCTACACCAAGGCATCAAACTGACCCCCTCGGCTCAGCAGAGACCACCACTCCTGACCTGCAGGGAAGCCCTCCTTCCATTTGATCCTTTTGGGCACCAACATAAAACATGGTTCTTCTCACACACATTTTAATTATCACGCGAGAAACATTTTAATTACTGAAAAGACCCTGTGTTCTTTTCTCGTTCTGCCGGTGGGTCATTTTTAAACTGGCCAAATTATCTTAAGTGAATGCTTGATTCATTTATTGATTTGATGTTCCTGTGTATTTTTAAATAATGCTCACAGATTAGATGCAAAGAACAAAAATGCCAAGAAAACTTTTAGAACGTTGCAGACCTCATAGCTACCATTCCCAGGAAGATCAAACGGGTGAGCAGGACACAGGTGATAACTTGGTTGTAGCAATCAGTGACTATGTCTCAACAGAGACTCCGGCTTCTTGCACACCATTGTATTATGCTATGGTCATTGTCCCTTTAAGGCCATCAGAACCATTTCTTTCTGGGCACCTTCGTCCGAACCCTCTCCCCAGCCTTCCTTAATTCCAACTCCGTATTTGATGAAACAGGCCACTCTTTCCCAGCATGGGACCATCCAGATGTATCGGACTAAAATGGATGAGAACTCTCTCCATCTTTAGCCATCATGGATGGCCATGCTGATTGAGAATAATGGGAACCGTAGTTCACCACATCTGTAGAGGATTGTTGGTTGGGGAATGCTGAAGGAGGCGGTTTATAATAAAAAACTTTGGAAAACTCAGTTTTGAAACCACTTGGAACAGTCTTCAAAGGTAGTCCCATGTATAGCATACTACAGTAGCCTAACTTAGAGAGCTTAGAGAGCACGGATAACTGATGCCAGACTCAAATGCACAGTTGATCCAACAGTTGATCAAGCATCTTTGGTTATATTATCAGTTTCTAAAGAACACTCACCATTTTCTCATTACTTCTTCTGCTACTTCTTCCCTCTTGTGTCTTTGGTGGAAAGTCTTTAAAGACAATAACAACAACAACAAAAATTGGTTTGAGTTACCAATCAGGTGTCTGTTTCTAATTTTTTTCTGAGATCTTTTCCATTACCCAGAACTGCACCTGGCTGAGTAGTGGGTTTTTTTAAGCAACTCTGGGCAGAACAGACTGCTCTGTGGAGCAAATGCTCAAAGTATCATAATTCTCTCTCATCCTCCACTCAATCCTGCACATTTCCTGCATTCTGTGTAAGAAGCTTTCTGAAATAATTCAGATCTGCTTAAACAGACCCCATGTAAAGAT